CGATCAAACCGGTCAGTCCTAGAGGAGATCAACCCTGACTGCTCTTTAGAAAGCCAGATCCTGAAGTTGAAACTCAAATACTTTGGCCACCTAATGAGAAGGAAGGACTCACTGGAGAAGGGCCTAATGCTGGGAAAGATTGAGGGCAACAGAAGAAGGGGATGACAGAGAATGAGGTGGCTGGATGGAGTCACTGAAGCAGTAGGCATGAGCTTAAATGGGCTCCAGAAGATGGAAGAGGACAGGAAGGCCTAGAGGAGCATTGTCCATGGGGTCATGAGGGGTCGGACACACAACTAACAACAACAACAATGATGCAATGATTTAGGTCCAGAATTAGGGCTAGATAGAGTTGGGTTCAGGCCCATCCTTAGGAATGGACATGTCCTCTAGGACTTTGGGCCACTCTTTCTGCTCAACATCATTTTTCCAGGGATAAAGACAAGATGAAAGCCTCCTTAAACTCTTGAAGGGTAGATGAGTGGGACAGAAATCTAATAATCTCTTCTAAGAGTGGAGAGAAAATTAGGAAAGAGAACCAGAAAAGCTGCCCTGCTCAAGCTATGGTGATTTTACAAAGTTCAAATATGAAGGGAGTAGGTTTCTCTGCTTTTTAAAAATGGGATTAGCATTAAATACGTGGGTGAATGACCATTGCTAGGAGATTATTTGGGTGTAAGGAGATTAACCCTATTGATCCCCAATTTTATTGGATGCTAAACCAAGTCATTGAGAATGAAGATATACAGTATGCCTTTTAGGATCAACTGCTCACAGGAAAGAGCCAAGAAATATAACAGAGACTACTACGGTAGCACCTGGTAGAGTAGTAATGAAAGACTTTGGAAAAGAGATTCATATGCAAAGATATGTATATATCTACAGAGATCACGTTTGTGCAGGCACAGGATTTCCCCGTGAAACTCTGTGGAAGCAAAAGTTGGACTTTGAAGAAGTAGGATAGAAAGAAGATTGATAGTTTTTAACTTTGATGTTGGAGAAGATTCTAGAGAATATCATGGATTGCCAAAAGACTCGATCATGGGACAAATCACCCGGAGGCACAAACAAAATACTGTACATCAGGCACATTATGTAAAGACTAAATCTCTAAAGGAGTTTATAATACTGGGCGAATTGAAAAGAAAGAGAAGATTAGCAGCAAGGTGAGTGGAGTCAAGCATAGACGCAACAGTGCCGTCTTCGAAGTATGGGGCATATCATCCCCGAAAAAGTCTATGTGGTCGCCAAGAGTCGATACCGATTTGATGGCACTTAATCATTCATCATACCACTGCATCCCCTATTTGTCGAATGTTGTAATACTTTTTCCTGAGATCACGTGTCAGTGACTCCGCCTGGGGACAGATTTGGGAGTCTCCAGGCAGAAAAGCCTGGGCGCCCCGATCCCGCCGAGCTGAGCCGCCGTTGTCCCCCGAAAATCCCTCCGTGTCTCGGAAGGCCAGAGGGGAGCCGAGCGCTGACAGTTGGGCTGGCGGCTGGGATGCGCCATCCGACGCGGCTGCAGCCACAACGGCACCACCAGAAATCTGGTGCCTGCTTGGCAACCTGCGGCGGCAGCGCCGAGGGAGCTTCGCGGGGGGGGGCTTTTCTTTGGCAGCCTCGCGGGAGGGGCAGGGTGGCTCTTGGGCGGTGGGCGATCGGGCTGGAGGGTGGCCTCTTTGGGCCAAAGTTGGGGAGAGGGCCCCGCGCACAGGCCCGGCCGGGAAGAAGTGGATCCGCTGCTAATTACGGGCATTCGTGAGCACAGCTGGGCTGCCAGCCTCCCTGGCAGCAGCCAATGTTTGGAGAGCCGATCATTTGTAGTGTACACACACACGAGCGCCCAACTCCTGAAACCCGAAACGGCCGCTGCCTGATGCCAACCCGATTAACGGAGCTGCTTTGCCCTCAGGGACCGCCTCTCCTGTTTCCAGCGGCAGGTCAGGCAGCGGGCAGAGGAGGCAAGGGGGACCCCGAGCCTCGAGACCTGAGGCGAACGGCCCCCTCTGCCCACCAGGTAGGCTGGTGGTGGGGGGAGAAGCAGAAAAAGAAGACGAAATCTTGTGGAAATGTATTTTACTGTACTAATGCCAGGATTTTGTGTTTGTTTTTGTGGCCCTAACCTTTTTTGCCCCAGCTAGATCTGCGCTTTGCCTTGATTGAAAATAATAATCCTCTCCACCCGTCTATAGTTTTATCAATGCTCGTTATATATTCTGCCTGAAAAGAGACACGAGCCATTTCAAAACTGAATTCATGCTTTTGTCTGGTGCTTTGCTCCCCATAACAGTTCAACAAGTTGTTCACTCCCGGTTTGTTTTGTGGCTGTGTATTTTCATTTGCTTGAAAATGTGTTGAGTTCTTCTCTGCTGTCTGTTAATTTGGGTTCCTTTTGCTTGCAACCTTTTGAATCATCCTTTCACGACCGATTGACCTTGGCGATTTCACTACGCTCGAAAAACGGGTAATGGTGCGTAGCGCTCAGGCTTGAGACACCGAAACAATTATGCAGAAATTTCGAGCCTTTCTTTCCCGGTCAAGGTATTTTCACATTCTTCTCCGGATCCGGTAATTGTTTTCCGACCTCCAAAAATTCTTCGCTAGGAAGTCTCAGCTCCGGGCTACAGAAAGGCACCTGCACAAGCCACTGGCCCTTTGCGCTCTTATTTACGCTGCGAAGGGCGAGGCGGCTCTTGGACCAGGGCTGAAAGAAACCTTCCCCCCCCCCCGCCTTTTGGCTCTCGCCGTTCCTCGGTGCTGCTGATTTAGTGATTCTAGATACTATCCAAGGTTGCATTTTCCGCCCAGAAGAAATATACTTTCATCCATTTTACCCAGAAATATTCATTTCATGGAACGCCTTCCAATTTCTGCTTAGGCTGGGGTAAGAGAAATAATACTCTTTAGCCCACAAGCCTAAAAATGTAAGATATCTTTTCAGAGAAGATAGGGTGCAATGCCAAAACTTCTATCCATCAATTTCAGGTGGTCTTAGATCGCATTTTTACCCATCAGCCCTAAATGCTATCACTTTAAAGCACTTCCCACCTCCCTACGCACCCCAGATAAAGTCTAGCTTTAACTGCTGGACGGCACCCAGTAGGGAAAGGCTGCTTTACATTGAGATCCAACTGATTTCAGCACACCCGAAGGCTAAGCCTTTTCCCACTGGCCCCATCTGCTAACCTAGAGGCACTTCAGGTCCATTGTACTCTATGACCATAAAAGCAAGTATAAACTATCAGCTATCGTGAAGATGTCAACTTTCGTTTTCCTATCTTTGTGTCCCTATCTCTAACATAAGAAAGTGACTTTCGGATTGCAGCCTTCCTCTTTTCAGTTCACGAAAGGTGCAAGATTGTGCTACTTGTCTGGGACAAGATAGTAGGATGTGAACTGGGCTGTGCTACTCACCACAAAAGAACATGGAAATGGATTTGAGCCAAGGCTGTATACCTGAGACTAAGCCAGCCTTAGAATATAGAATAATAGAGTTAGAAGGGACCTCGGAGGTCTTCTAGTGCAACCCATGCTCAAGCAGGAGATCCTATATAATTTCAGACAAATGGTTGTCCAGTCTCTTTTTGAAAGCCTCCAGTGATAGAGCACCCACAACTTCTGATTCCATTGGTTGATTGCTCTCACCGTTAGGAAATTTCTCCTTAGTTCTATGTTGCTTGGTTAGTTTCTAACCATTGTTTCTTGTCTTGCCTTTGATGCTTTGGGAAATAGTTTGACTCCTAAAATCAGTGTGGAACACAGTGTGTTCCACTGTGTAATCAGTGGAACAACCTGCCTCCAGAAGTGGTGAATGCTCCAACACTGGAAGTTTTTAAGAAGAGATCGGACAACCATTTGTCCGAAACAGTATAGGGTTTCCTGCCTGGGCAGGGGGTTGTACTAGAAGACCTCCAAGGTCCCTTCCAACTCTATTATTATTGTTGTTGTTGTTATAAATTTTGGAAGAGTGTTATCATGTCACTCCCTAGTCCTTCTTTTCATTAGACTCTAGACATACCCATAGATGTTTTAACATCTAGCCCCTCATCATTTTCGTTGCTCTTCTCTGCCCTCCTTTCAGAGTCTCAACATCTGGAACACTTTCCTATCTCTAGGGGAAAGTGCTGGGCCCCTCTTTCAAAGTTTGGGAGATTTCCTCAACGGAGTCAGCCAGCATCGCCGTGCCCGGAGAGGCGGGGTCTTGTCCCTCTCATTGTCCTTTCGGCCCGGCGTGAGCGTCTTCAGAGAGGAGGGCGAGCAAGGCTTCGGCGGGGGAGCGAGCTGGGGGGCGGAACCGAATCCGATTCCCAGGCCTGGGGCCAAAGCGAACCAAAGCCGGTGCCTGCCAGGTACCTGCGAGGAGCGAGTGCGCTGAGCCGAGAGCGACCTGAGTGGAAGGCTCCCTCCGGCTTCGCCTCGCCGCGGGCCTTCCCGGCCCCCACCTCGTCCGCCGAAGGAGCGGGCGAAGAAGGCGACCATTCGCAGCTCTGTCTCTTCCCCGAGCCCAGTCATGTGACGCGAGGGAAGCGGAGCGAGGCGGGGGGCTCTCGGACTCCGAGCCAGCACCGGCACAAAACTGAGCTGGGAAGCTCCGTCACGCCACAAGCCCAGCTGCCGCGCCGCCTCGCCAAGCCAACCCGCCGGCCGCTCCCGCCGTCAGCCCAACGACGCCGGACGCCGCCTGCTCCGGCTTCCGCGGCATCCGCCGGGTCTGTCCGCCTCTTTTTGCAAGGAACCGGTCGTGTTGTTGCTGCTTTTCCATTTCCAACCGGCGAGAGGGAAAACGCGGCACCTCTTTCTTGCCATCTCCGGGAATCTCAAAGCGGAGCCCGAAATCTCCGCCTCACAGCCAGGCGTCTGAGGTCGCTTTCGGCCGGCGGGAAAACAACCAAGAAACTCGGAAGCGGCTTCCTGGGGGGAGGGGATGGCGCTGGGTGTGGCTCCTCGCGGAGAGAAGGCTCGGGTGTGAGGGGAAGAAAACCGGGGAAAGGCTGAAGTGGAGCCTGGCGGGCACTGAGTTTCGTCGGGAACTTGTGCTCGGTCAGAATCGAGGCGAAGATGGAGGGAACGGAGCGGCTGGAATCTCGCGCTTCTGGGCTGAAGCGCTTGGCGAGGGCTTGACTTCGAGGCGGGGCAAAGGGAGTTCAGAAAAAGGGCTTTTCCTTACCTTTGGCGGGAGGCGCCTTCGGAATTAAGCGGCTTCGTTTCGAGCTCAGGGCAAGAGGAGCGCTGGCCGCCCGGCTTGGCGGGAAAAAACAACGTGAGGGGAAAAGCAGACGGCGAAGGGCGCCGCCAGTTTCGTGCGCACGCGGACTGGGCAGGAGGCGAAGGCGGAAAGTGTCCGCCGACTCCCTCGGAAATGCCGGCTGAGTGTGCCGAGCGCTGATCGAAGAGCAAAAGCCATTCTCCCTGAGATGCGATAACCGATCGTCGTCCTACTCCTCTCCTGAGGCGGCGAAAGGGCCCGTTCGGGTCCCAGAGCGCGGTCCTTCTAGGCGGGACAGCCGGAAGGGGTTAGGAATGTGCCATGCCTCGGCCGGGCAAGAGCTCGTACAGCGATCAGAAGCCTCCTTATTCTTACATCTCGCTGACGGCCATGGCCATTCAGCACTCGAGTGAGAAGATGCTCCCCCTCAGCGACATCTACAAGTTCATCATGGAGCGCTTCCCCTACTACCGCGAGCACACCCAGCGCTGGCAAAACTCGCTGCGCCACAACCTCTCCTTCAACGACTGCTTCATTAAGATCCCGCGGCGGCCCGACCAGCCCGGCAAAGGCAGCTTCTGGGCGCTGCACCCGGACTGCGGAGACATGTTCGAGAACGGCAGCTTCCTCAGGCGCAGAAAGCGCTTCAAGGTGCCGCGGCCGGAGCCCCACATGCCGGCAGCGGCAGGCAAAGCAGGGGGAGTGCTGCACCCCCACCTGAGCCACTATTTCCATCCTCATCACCCGCCGCCGCCGCCGCCGCCTTCCCTGCAACCTTCAGCGTCAACCAAAGGACATCCAGACTCGGCGGCGGCCGTGGCGGCGGCAGCCGTGGCCGTCGGAAGGTTGCCTCAATTCCAACCTTACAGCCCGGCTCCTGGCTTCAAGCATCCCTTCGCCATCGAGAACCTTATTGGCCGAGACTACAAAGGAGTGATCCAGGGCGGTGGGTTGCCGCTGGCTTCCGTAATGCACCACCTGGGCTACCCAATAGCCGGTCAACAGATCAGCACCATGGTCAGTTCGGTGTGGCCCCACGTGGGCGTGATTGAGCCTGCGGGCGGCATTCCCCTTTCGCCGGGAGACTACGGACCTTTCGGGATGCCGGTCAAGACCATCTGCCACCCATCGACACAGACACTGCCTGCAATCCCTGTGCCAATCAAGCCCACCCCGTCCATTGCGCCATCCACCGCCATCTCTGCCCTGACGGTCAACCATGTCACACAGCAGCTCTGTCAGACAACGTCTCCCGGCGCCTCCTCTTCTTCTCTTCTTGAACAGATTCCGCCAAACTCCTCCAATGGCAAAATCTCCTTACATTCTGCCTTTTACATTCATAGAATGGAAGATGGAGAAGTATGACCCTTGACACGATCCCATATAAGCATGGGGCAAAGATTGGTCTGGGCCTGTTGTTGAATGTCTTTGCAAAGAACATTTTGTGTTATCATAATTATAATTATCATGTATTTTTGTCTGTTGTAAAATCAAAGTGTTCAGAGCCAGGTTCAGGTAAGAATTTCTGTATTCAATGTTAGCCATCATAAACTCAGAAATAGTCTGGTTAATTTTGTGAAATACTTTGCTGTATTCAGCTAACACTTGAATTGCTATACAATGACGCAAGCACGCATGCACGCACACACAGACACCATACTCAAGCTTAAGTCCCAAAAGACTAAAACTTTACACACAGTGGTGGTAAAGTTTGCCTCCCTGAATTTCTTGAAAATAAGTTTTCCTTAACCAATGAATTGTTGCAATAGAAAAGAATCAACATTACATAAATGCCTATTACTGGTTGAATTCCACCAGAAATATACTGGATCAACCTAGTGATTTCAATGAGACTTATTTTCATGTTAGCATGTACAAAAATGAGGTATAGTTGGAGTGAATTTGTATATATATATACACACATATCTCAAATGAAGTATTTTAGCACTGTAGGTTATGAGCTATAAAAATCAAATAAAATGTTGCCATTGATTGGGGTTTGCAACTTGTTCTGTAAAATAAATATTCTCCCCCCCCCCATGCTCTTGCAAGTTAAGGGTATGCAAGCTTTTAAGTCACTCAGAATTCTTCATTAATTTATTCAATCCTTCTTATTTCAAACTTTTAAAAGTTAAGAAAGCAGCAACAGAATGTCATGCTTTTAGGAGATTGATATTAAGGTCAAAGATTTGATTAAAATTTATTCTTGTTATATTTTTGTTATGGTAATTTTGATAGTTTTGAATATTAGAGCAACATGAATTTCCCAGGGCCTAAAAATATTAAAAATGACATTTGTGCTATGGATTGGGAACAGAAGCAAAAAATAAAAACAAGGTAAAAAATTAGAAAGGAGAAATAAGTGGAGATTAAAAAAGAAACTGGGATTTAAATTTGCTTTGTATTCCATGTCAGATTGAAAACATTGCCACCAGATAGTACAGTAAAGAGTGCAGTAAGGCATAAGCTGAAGTTCCTGAAACTAAAGTGTAAAGCTTTTGCCCTTTTGACCCTAACTCAGAAATAAGTTTCATCCAACCAACACATCAATGTTATATTGCTATATACATGTGCAAAATTTGTGTTTTTCTGACTGTTTTTTAAAGAAAAAATTATTCTTGTGATTTTTATTGTCTTCAAAAGTACTATTCTGCTTTGTGTGTGTGTGTGCTTTGATCTGTCCTTTTCCCACTTACTTACACACTTACTACCGATAAGCACTTTACACAAAGACGTTTCAATGAAATAAGAGAATGTTCTGTTTCCAGAAATCAGCCTTTGAGCTTTGCTTTCGGATGGAATCTGAGTCTCAGCTGTAGTTGGAACCTTATTGTACATCATTGTTTTCATTAAAAGTGATCACTTGGCTTCCTGCTCTAACTCTAGTTCTTATGATTTATTAACCTGTATATGCTGGGATGCAACTGTGTGCATTGATAATCTTCACTATGCCACATGAAAGTGTTTTTGGAGGCCAAAAATGTTCTCTTGAATTGAGGAACAATTAATGCATATGTTAACCCTTTGGCTAAATGTCACGGGTTAATTTGTGTTGGTTAGAACAGAATCCTCTGAAATCCTACTTTAAAATGCATTATTTTGTGCAAATGTATAGTTCTGGGAGAAAACCTCCACCATCCTCTATAGTTTTTCTGTGAACTCATTATATGCGTCTACAAGGAAATCCCACTGAAACCATTATATGCTTCGTGCTGAAGTGTCAGCTAGCCCCAGAGTTTCTCAATTTTCTTAAGATTAAATTGCATCAGCTTTTGTATTTTTGTTTATGCAAGAAGGGGCAGATCAAGAGAGGCTCCACTAAAAGGATAAAGTGAGCTCTTAAAGGATGTGCTCATCATTTGTTTCTTAGGCTTTACAGAATAAATAGCATTTTTTCTACACAGTAAGGGTCTGTCCAACAGAGAGAAGTATGCTTCTGGAACTTTAGCTCTTCAGTCTAGCTAGCCATTATATCCATAAAACATCAATAAATCTCTAACTGAAAACTTAAGCTGCAACTCACAAGCTATTGTTCTGCATGTATTCTGCCCAGATAGGAGATGGTCATTTCATTTGATGCTGGGTAATATGTATCTTTTGCCTCATTTGTTTTTCAGTCATTAATCTACAGCAATAATCTTGATGAACTTTGCCTAGAAATAAATTGTGCTGTTGCAGACATTTTTATACCTAAATTACAACCTGGGATTTAAAAAAATAATTTAAAATCTCAGTTATATTTCTCATTATATTCAAAGATCAGATCAATACAATGAAGTTTGGTAATAAAATGATGTAGTAGTCCCTACACCCACCAGAACCTCTTGAAAACTAGAATTATACTGCTATGTCCAATTTTAAATTTAGTGTAATTTGGAGCTAAAATTAACATTTCACCACAATTTCAGTTATCAATTTTATAAAATTTGGAGATGTTTTGAATATTTCCTGGGTTTTTAAATGTCTTCTATATTTTCTTTTTCAGGAAGTTTCTCTCCACAGAAAATTTGAGCACACATAATGCAAGGCTGATTCTTAGCAAATTACTTGGAACAGAATCTGAAGACAGAGTTGCAGTTTGGGATACTGATTTGTCTTTTGTACTGAAGTAGTTTTTAAAAAGAAGTAGTAATTTTTAATTTGTATTTAGCAAATTTAATATTTGTTTAAAAAAATAAGAAGAACCATTACAGAAAAAAATAATAAAGGTATCAACACCCTTAGAAGTTTGTTTTCTGGAATTAAGAAGAGTTTTAATGATATAATTGTATCACATATTTTTACATTAAAAAAAGATATAGGAAAATTCCTATTAAAAATCTTAGTGATAAATCAATATACCTGTCAAAATATTGGAAGACTATATTATATATATGGGTGAAATATATATAAGCACAATGAATCATTTGGGGGGGGGGGTGATCAGCTCACAGGAATCCCTGCAACAGGCTCTGATATCAGGCAGGCTTCAGTTCTTATTTCAGATGAAAGGCGGAGCTTTGATCTCACCCTATATACAAATAAATGCTCCTTAGGAAAGAGCTGGGGACCCGTATTTTGTCCTTACAATTTTAATGAAACTGAGTTTTACTCCCAGTACTAGAGAGACGATCGTTTCTGCTTGATTTCACTCAAAAAACTAAAAACCTTACAAATAGGGTGGGCAGTCACACCGCCAACTCTTGTTAAAGAATTACAAAACCAAACGAGCACTTTTCCTAGTCTGGAAAAAAAAATGGAAACATGTGGTGACTCTTGATTCAATAAATGAATGAATATATAAATAAATGACTTGGAGGCGTTCCATATGATACGGAAAGAGAGGCAAGCGGTAAGAAAGTTAGTCTTGAAACGGATTTGTTCAGAAGAAGAAGAAGAAGAAGAAGAAGAAGAAGAAGAAGAAGAAGAAGAAGAAGAAGAAGAAGAAGAAGAAGAAGAAGAAGAAGAAGAAGAAGACGAAGAAGAAGAAGAAGAAGAAGAAGAAGAAGAAGAAGAAGAAGAAGAAGAAGAAGAAGAAGAAGAAGAAGAAGAAGAAGAAGAAGAAGAAGAAGAAGAAGAAGAAGAAGAAGAACGATTGAGGATCCAGGCGAGACAGCTTGGGAACGGAGCCGTAGAAAACGTGGGTCGGAAGAGGGGGTTCATCCTTCCTCACTACCGCCTGGTCTCCCCCGCCGAAAGGCGCCGGGACGTCCCTGAAGGAGGGAGTTGACTGGTGGGGAGGACAGAACAGAGAGCTCAGCTTTCCTTTAGCCCAGCTTGAAGTCTTCCAGCAGCCCTAACCGAAGAGACAGTCCCGGCTTTGGCTCTTGAACGTTGGATCGGGACACCTTAAAAACTGAAGAGTAAATTGGATCAAAGTAGCCGGATCGGCTTCGAAACGGCGGATCGTGAGAAGGGCTGTAAATCTGCGGTGTAACGAGACGACTGAATTTCAGCTGGGTAGGGAGACTGTCTGCTCTTGAAGTGGATTTCTCTTTCTGCTAACACGCCGAAGGTCTACGCGGTTTCTGATTTTTGAGATCTGCTGTTGTAAACTGGCATTTTAATGATTTGAGTATATTGTAAATTGTGACTGTCAATGAAAATCAAAGTAAGAGTATAGGAAGGGAATCACCGTATTTACTCTCATACTTGGAAAGTGATTTAATGACTTAATTTTGGACCGATTATTCGTTGAAAAAGAGGCGACAAATTACCAAACGAACCTGATTTGTGTATTTATTATTTATTATCTAGGTAAGGATTTCAGTTTACAGAGCAAACAAAATGTCCCTTGAACAATTGTATTGATGATGCAGGACATTAAATTCTATCATAAGATATTAAATATAAACATAAATTTCTTTTAGGATTTTTTGGGGGGTGGGAGGGGGAGGGAAGGTTCTGGTAAGACCTGAGAATAACTGCTTACGATACAATCATACTATAAAGTTAAACGTTTTGCTGGGGGGCATTAACCTCCCTTCATCCCCTAAATTTGCTTTAAGGCCAGTAGTGCCTCTCGTAGAGATTTCTCAGGACTGAGAGCTTCTTGTTGCTGCCCAAATCCCACGTATTTGGCAGGCTCAAGATGCTTCTCTCCAGCGTCCAGTTGACAATCGCTGAACCCGCCTGGGGACAGATTTGGGAGTATCCAGCAGAAAAGCCGGGGGATCTCTCCTTCGTAAAGAAAAGTTCCTCCTGCTGCGCCTGGGCGCCCCTTTCCCGCCGAGCTGAGGCGCCGTTGTCCCCCGAGAATCCCTCCGTGTCTCGGAAGGCCAGAGGGGAGCCAAGCGCTGACAGTTGGGCTGGTGGCTGGGATGCGCCATCCGACACGGCTGCAGCCACAACGGCACCACCAGAAACCTGCTTGGCAACTTGCGGCGGCAGCGCCGAGGGAGCCTCGCAGGGGGGAGGGGTCTTTGGCAGCCTCGCGGGTCGAGGCACGAACAATCCTTCCCTCCCGCCGACTCTGGGAGGGGCAGGGTGGCTCTTGGGCGGTGGGCGATCGGGCTGGAGGGTGGCCTCTTTGGGCCAAAGTTGGGGAGAGGGCCCCGCGCACAGGCCCGGCCGGGAAGAAGTGGATCCGCTGCTAATTACGGGCATTCGTGAGCACAGCTGGGCTGCCAGCCTCCCTGGCAGCAGCCAATGTTTGGAGAGCCGATCATTTGTAGTGTACACACACACACGCGCCCAACTCCTGAAACCCGAAACGGCCGCTGCCTGATGCCAACCCGATTAGCGGAGCTGCTTTGCCCTCAGGAATCGCCTCGCCTGTTTCCAGCGGCAGGTCAGGCAGCGGGCAGAGGAGGCAAGGGGGACCCCGAGCCTCGAGACCTGAGGCGAACGGCCCCCTCTGCCCACCAGGTAGGCTGGTGGTGGGGGACGAGCGAAAAAAGGGGGGGGGGAGTAAGAAACACTCACGAAGAGGCTTCAAGTGAGTGGAGTGACTTGAAGGGCTACCTCGCATGGAATCTCGGCAGGGAAGTTTAGTAGTGGTTTCACGAACAAAAAACAAACAAACAAAATTTTCAAGTTCCTAAGTTACGAGGCTGAATTCTCCGAAGTGTACTGGAGAGTCGTCTTTGGCCACTTTTAGCGCATGCGCGAAAGAAAGATAAGAGCGGCATAGTTCCTTCTACCTTCCAAGTGAAGGGCCCAGTTTCTCCTCTACAGAAAACACCTGTGCTGTGTAGTTTTCCAACAGACGTAAAAAGCGGGAACTGCCGCTTTATGCCTGCCTTCTCTCTTCATTTCAAGTATTGGTGAGTTGAACAGAACCCTTCGTTGGATGAAATTTGAACTGAAATCCACATTTCACTAAATACTCTTTAATCTAAGTGTTTTCAGCCTTGGCAACTTTAAGATGTGCAGACTTCATTTCTCAGAATTTCCCAGCCATAGGAATTAGGCTGGGGAATTCTGGGAGTTAAGTCCACACATCTTAAAGTTGTCAGGATTGAGAAACACAGAGTATATAAATTATGTTCTCTTTCTTGCCATATCTTCAGAGCAAACCCCTTCTTCATGTGCCAGAGAGAACACAAGTTGAAAACATAACCATGCTTTTGTGGTGTCCCTACCAGCAGCTTGATTCTGGCAACTTCAGTGTAGCTCTAGAGCAGGTGTGTCCAACTCACGGCCCATTGGCTGCATGCAGCCCTACATAGCTGCTAGTAATAATGTGGCCCCACAAAATAATAAAAAATACTTTAAAAGGAAGTTTATTTTATATTATAAAATATATTATAGCCAAAAGGTTGCACAACTATGCTCTGTAGCCTAAACCTTAAAGAGAATGAAGGAGAATATTGCATTGGCACTGAGTGTGTTTTTATTACATCCAGGTCATATCTGAAACTAGGGCACTACTAGGAGATGACTTTCCTCATCAATATATTCTTAGATTGACTATTCAGTCTCCAACTACCGAGTCCTTTCAGTATGGCCCGCAAGACAATACACTGGGTAGCCTTCTCCTTCCCATTAGCAGTCTGACTACATATGTTTATTAGAACTCTTAATTTTTAAAATCATGTCATGAAAAGTTTCAATTACAATAGCAAAAGATTGTCAGAGTGTGTACCGTCTTACTGCGCGAGATAACCCAAGAGTAAACACAGAAAACAGTGGTCTATATTAAATGGTGGTTTATCTTACACTATCTACAATATCATACACCAGGAAAAATACACATACACATGCTAATACAGCAGGATCCAACAAACCACAGTTACAGCAGGAAACGGAAGAAAAGAGAACAGGAGAAGAGAGCCCTTTATACAAAGGCTCTTAAAGAAACACAGACCCGGCTGAGTCATTCCCACCATTACATCTTATATCTTACATTACATAAGCTGGTTAGCTGTTAAATCAATACCTTGACAAAGATAATGCAAACTAAAAAAAGAAAAAATTGTTGAGATGGACAATCACATTTCTTTATGTATCAAAAAGAAAGTTGAGTAAAGAATCTGGCCTCTATGGCCTGCTGTCAAACTGGATACACGTAGTCCTCGACTTATAAACATTTGAAGTTACAATGGCACTGAAAAAATGACTTATGGCCATTTTTCACACTTATGACCATTGCAGCATCCCCATCGTCATGTGATTTACATTTGGATGCTTGACAACTAGCTCATATTTATGACGATCCCAGTGTCCCAGGAGTCATATGATCACCTTTTGTGACCTGGCAAACAAAGATTCACTTAACAGTGGTGAAATTTCTCACTTAACAACATAAATTTTGGGCTCAATTGTGGTCATACGTTGAGGACTACCTGTATTGCCAAGTGGATTTTGCAAAACCAAAGCTTAGGGGGTTTGTAGACTGAAACTAGGATCTACGCTAGCGTTAGGTTCCAATGTAAAAGTTAATGTGCTTAGAAGCAAACTTACTCTATTTAATTTCCAGGGAGACTTTAGAACTGGATAGGTCTGTGGATTTATGGGTATTCTTTGAAACAGGGGTCTTCAAACTTGGCCCTTTTATGACTTGTGGACTTCAACTCCCAGAATTCCTCAGCCAGGCATGCTGGCTGAGGAATTCTGGGAGTTGAAGTCCACAAGTCATAAAAGGGCCAGGTTTGAAGACCCCTGCTTTAAAATGTCTTGTTTAAACACACTCCCTAATCACAGCCTGGGGGGGAATGAGCAAGCGGTACCAATGGTTATGAATTTATTTTATCTTATAAATTGTATTCTGTATGTTGAATAAATGGAAAAATAAAAACTTTTTTTTTTAAAAAAAAAAACCCACTCTCCCTAATTCTAGGTACAGATTCAATTGGTTTACCTTGCTGCTAGAGCAGACCGAGCAAGCTAGCAAGAGCTGTAAGGCTTTGCTAGATTCCTTTTCCTGAAAATAATTTTTGTGAGGAATTACCTCCCTAGGCACAGTGAATATTTTGTTGAATGGGGAATAAATGTCACATTTTCCTCACATGGATGCTTATCTTAAGAATCCTCTTCACTACAATTTATAAAAAAGGATTCATGCTTTGCTTCTGAGGTTATGATACTTTTATCAGCAGGGACTTCCTTCTACTTGGACAGCTTTTTTCTTTTTCATTCCACTGATCCAAATATCCCCTTCTTCCAAGTTTCCATCTCTCTACTTGTCTTTTTTTTTTTTTTTTTACTTCTCAGCTGTACAAAAACTCCACCCATTCAAATGTTTCAAAATGTGTTTGTTTGTTTGTATCCTGATAGAAGAGCATAATCCAGAAAGAGACTTGACCATCTTTTTTTCAGGCAATAGCTTTGCCTTTGTGGCAGAATTGAGCAATCACTAGAACAGGCCAGAATAAACTCAAGGAGATTTGGGAAGTCAAAGGTTAGTAATATATTAGTAAATATATTACTAATCAGTTTTACTCAGTGGTGGGATTCAGCCGGTTTGCACCACTTCAGCAGAACTGGTAGCTAATTTTTTGTTGCCCAGGCCCAGAATGGAGGCATCCATACAGAGAACTGGTTGTTCACATATTTGAATCCCACCACTGGTTTTACTGCTGGAAATGGGAGGAATCACTTGGGGTTTTTTTTTTTTTTTCTGCCTTGGTTTCAAAACAGTTTAATCAGTTTTCTTCGCCTTGTAGAGCCTTGGGGTTTAACTTGGCAAAGAGAGTTGAAGTATTTGTTTATCATAGACAGGATAAATATCCTAGCATTATCCTTGAAATTAATATAGACTCTTCTGTCTCTTCTCACCAGAAACAGAGAAAAGCTATTTCTCTCTATATCAGACACTCTGAAGCATCAGTATAGAAAATTAGTTTCTGTATTTTTAAAAGATTTTTTAAATTATGTGAGAAGAGAGTGAGAATAGTGCACAGTTTCCTAAGCATTTGGTTTTATGTAGAATTGATTTAAAATATGCAATATCTACTCGGAATTAAGCATCATTCCCTGGGGCCTATTCACAGAACCTGGTTTACAGATTTTACAATTAAAGCAAGTATGGGATATAGCTAGATCAGGGGTAGGCAACCTTGGCTCTTTTGTGACTCGTGGACTTCAACTCCCAGAATTCCTGAGCCAGCACAGAGTCACAAAAGAGCCAAGGTTGCCCACCCCTGAGCTAGATTATACATGGTGCAGTACTGGCATGTAAGAGTCTAATATTTTTATGGAGGGGCAGAAGAGGTGAGGTTTGTATCATTCTTCCCTGCCCAGTCACAGAAGGATACTTTTAGTAAAGCTACCGGTTCTAGATTGCAAAAATCCACACGGCCACAGCAAAGACAATTTTGCTGTCTCTTTGCTGTCATCTAGTAGTTGTCCAGATTATTTTTCCCTCCAAAAACCTTTATTCTGAGTAGTTTACTCTTTCAGTAATTTACTGATTGTAGGTTTTGATTTTGGAGGCAAGGGGATCTTTCAAAAGAATGATGCATTTCTACGTCCTTCTGCTAGAAGACAGCAAGAAGCTCCAGAGTTGTTAGTTAAATGGGAAAAAAAATCTTCAGCGAAAAATAACATATTTTTGTACAACCAGTGTCAGTTCAAGCTACTGTGGCGGACTATTAATCTACAATAAGCCTTCGGTTGTCATTGTGAAAATTATGTTCTTGTGTCCCTGAAGAATTCCTATGAAATGCATCCAGTTTCTTCACAACCCACTGAGACTTTGCTTTTTTATTCTCTAACATTTGCTTTTTTTATTGTCTAACATTTGGTTTTCCTTTTCTTCTTTCTAGTGGGGCATTGGGAGTAATTGACATCTCTGACTAGACTACTGCCACTCCATTTATTTACATTTGACCTCCATAATTTTAATAGTGGGTGTAGTACTGTCTGGTTGGTTTGTTACAATGGTTTTTCCACTTCAGAAGCCTTGATACAAACATATCCAAGCTGAATATTTGAAGTTAGATATACCAGAAATGTTCTAGCCCAGAATAGGATATAAACTTTAGGAGGTGGGAATCCTATAAATCTGCCTCAAAATAGCAATGAAATGTATAATCCTCTGTCTCTGGTTAAAACTCTTGTTGAATAAGAATTTTTCACTACTTCCTCACCTCATGCACATTTATCTATGACATAAGATTGGGTTTTGGATTTTAAAAAAAAGTACTGTTCTCCCAAATCTCTGATAGCTTGTCTGTGTCTCTCTTTGAGAACAATCATACATACCCTTCAGAACATTGCTGTTTGGGGCTGTCATCTAGCATCAAATATGCCATTTTGAAGTAAGAATAGATGGTAGAATGGAAATCTAGTAATTTGACTTTGGATAATTCTTTATTTTGAATATTTAGGCCCATTCCTTTCTGAGTTTTAGAGAGAAATCATTTTAATCATGACAAAGAATGACAAACTGTGACAGCCAATCCCTTTTGATCTCTGCTTCCCTT